ACAAATCGGTCTTTTGTAGCTGTGAAATTGGGGATGTCACAGTACAACCTATGAATATGTCGTTAGTGTTTTCTTTTTTCTGTTAGCCATATCAACGGTGAATGTTTGGGTTGGAGGTTGGATGCATAGGAGTTGTCGAGGAGGAACGTACCCGTGACTACGATTGGATCAACAACTGCCTCCTCCTGGCCCATTGCTAGCACTCTCCCCATGTTACTAGCATTTCTTTCCTTGGCACAATATCACTTGTAGTGCCCAGTTTCACCACACCTATAGCAGGCTTGGCTTACTCCAGCTCTGGGGGTCTGGTTGGTTTGTTGTGTTGGTTCCTTGAGAAAATGGGTTGTGTGACCCTTTTTGTTACAGTTGGTGCATTGCATATCACATCAAAGTTCGTGATGGTGGAATTTTCATTTTTCAAACCTTGGTAGGGTTTCAGCGTTTTGGATGGTGGGTGCTTGTGTAGTGGAAATAGCAGTAGGAGTGGTAGCAAAATGGACTGCCACTGTTTGTTGTTTCTTGGAAGGCTCCTGCAAAGATCGGGCCTTTCTCTTGTTCCAAAACTTCTTCATTTAACCACCTTTTTTAGGTGATTTGGGAGCGGCCAACCCAAAATCTTGATGATCTCTGTGATCTATTAGTGTCTGTGCCAGACATTTGGCATTGTCAAACATGGGTGGGTTGGTAGCTAGGTTGTTTCCTTAATTCGGGGGAGTTAGTCTCCATATGAATCTCTCCACTTTCTTGCTCTCTATGGTGACCATCCCAGGAAATAAAAGAGCCAGGTCACTGAACCTTGCGGTGTAAGCAGCGATGTCGGAGTCCTTCATCTTTAGACTACAGAGTTCTTGCTTGATCTTTTGCATTTTGCCCCGCGGGCAGTATTTGGCGAGCATCAGTTCTTTCAAATCATCCGAACTCATAGCATTACCTGTCGGTAGAGTCATGGATTTGATTTGGCTATTCAACCAAGTTAGTGCTCTGTCAGTTGAGGTGCATGCTGCAAATTTTACTTTGCTTGACTCAAGGCATGCACAGATCTCGAATATTGATTCAGTTTTCTCGAACCAACAAGTTAGTGTAATGACTCCTCTAGTGCCATCGAAGGATCGAGGTTTCGCATTGATGAAGTTCTTGTATGAACACTCCCTCGAGTGTGTGTGACTATCACCAAGGTTTGATGGGTTGGCATCACTACCTGCCCCACTAGTGCCACTCGCATTGATTTGTGGCATAGCGGCAGCCATGGCGGCTGCTACTGCTGCCTGAAAGACAGCATGATCATACTGAGGAGGTGGCATCGATGGATTTGTTGCACGTTTGATTTTTTTTAGTTAGACATCCTCAGAGGCATCTTTATATAAAAGAATTTAAGAGAAAACTGATGATAAGTCCTCTATAATGGTCGTGCATCAGGTGATATTGAACATGGTATATCTTATCCTAACAGTTATAGTTTTCTATCAAGCAATTTACAGTGGAAGTCTACTAATACAAGTAAACAATCGACAACAAATTCATAGCAACACTTGGAATGAAATCTATACAATGTGTTTGGCTCTAGTATTATAGTGCTATAAAATACTGCTATAGTATTTTAGTTTGTATGTTTGGTTCTATTGTTCTACTTGTATAGAGTTTTGGTAAGTTTTAAACTTGTTGCAACACCACAATCACTCCCAAACACATGTTGGTGGTATCTCAAATAAATATAGTTAAGTAAGCTATATTTATCCCAAATATGATTACATAAATGTTCAGGTTTAACCATAGTGTCTAACAACTAAATACTTTTCTTTTGTTCTTCTTGTGCTAATGTTTCTGGTATGTATGTATACTTGTATACTTCTTATAAAATATTTTGATTTTAAAAGTATACTTTTAGTCCAGAGCGCTTCGGCCACTTAGTGTTTATAACTGTATATCATATAAGGTTTGATATACTTAGTTTATTATAAAAAATGCTCTGAAACCAATCTGTCACACCCCCAAACCGAGGCGACGAAAATATTCGGGGGAAAAGGACGTCATGTATAGTATCACAACAATTGTATAATAGGAATCAACGCAAACACAACCATTACATTGATTAAGTAAAGTATTTACATCTATTCGGTATATAATTTGTATGACATCAAAATGTTTAACAAAAGTATAAACGTCAGGACTCTAAAAGCTCCGTCTTCTCAAAATCAATGAGTGAACATGTGTATCGGTTCCCTGAGAATACATGTAGTTTTTGAAAGTGTATCAACATTCAATTTGGTGATTTCATAAGAATGTTTTTGTAATGAAATCTTTCCTTTGAATCTTTGAAAATGTTTGTATGTATCTCAAGAAAATCCAATATTTTCTTTAGTAGTCAAAAGTAGTCTTAGACATTAAGAGAAAAATGTACGTTTGTTACTGTATTTTGTAGTTGTGTATCGTTGTAATGTTTAATAGGAACCCTTGCACGAATATCTTTGTATGTATGCCTGGATACCACCAGGTGTTTTGTATAGTATTGTTTGTTACGAAAACCATTGTATAAAATCCCTAGTTACCACCAATAGTAGTGTATAGCATTGTTATGTTTGAAAACCACTGTATGAATTCCCTGGATACCACCAGTAGTAGTGTGTAGCATTTTTATTAATTAAAATAAAACCATGTGTTTGTAATTCCCTAGAATCCTCCAGTTGTATTGTATAGTAGTTCTATTAATAAAAATAAAACTATTTGAAGAGTTGAAATCCTGTAAACAAATGTTTAGTTTATACTGTTGTGAGTTTGGTATAACAATGCTTGATGTGACCTAGTGACCTCTATGACGTTCTTAAGGTGTCGGAATGGTATAACATTTGTCACCCCAGGCCTGCTAGCCTAACTATAGATAACAGTTCAAGTGTGGGATTGTCAGTCCCATATAGATCTATACACAAATCTCACGCTCTCCCTCCAGGAGACTCTATATAGGATTTAGTTTCGTACCCTGGTGGATATAATTGAAGTAGTGCCTCACAACCCTCTATTAACTAGTTTACGTGCAGTGTTGTAGTGTTCTCTTGTACTTGAAATTGTATGTATAACCACTACTAGAAAAACAGCCTTTTACGACGCTCATTGCACGTCGTAAAAGGCTCAGACGACGCGCAAATGCACGTCAAGGAAGGCCCTGTCATAAAGAAAGACGACGCGCTTTTACGACGCGCATTTACGATGCTCATTTACGACGCACATTTACGACGAGCGTTTACGACACACAATGCGTACCAAGGAAGGCCCTGTCATAAAGGAAGACGATACGCATTCACGTGTTGTAACCTTTCGACGCGCGTGTTAATGACATGCAATGCGTATCAAGAAAGCCACTGTCAAGAAAGGCCATGTCATAAATGAAGATGACACACATTTTTGCGTATCATAATTTTAAATGTTTTAAAAAAAATATTATTTATGGATTTACTAATTTTCAAATTAAATAATACATTAAAAATCTCATAATACAAAATAAAATACCATAAATAACAAAGATAACTCATTTCACTAATATGTCAAATACAAATAACTATTCCAATAGTGAGTAAATGTTATAAAAAAATGAACTCATTTATATACAATTGCATTATCTAGCTTACTATGTGCCAACAACTCTCTGTGTGTTTACTTTTGCTTGAGTCTTGTTTCCTCGAAAGCTTCTAAATCACAAACCTTTTTAAACATACTAGAGACAGGATCCAATCCATGGGGTATTTTTGGAAAATAGTCTGAACATTCTTGACAAATCATCAACTTGCAAGTGAAGGGTAGAAAGGGAAGAAACAAATGTTCACAACCACTAAGAAATCTAAACACTAGAAGTTTCACAGTAATTGTTGAACACTACTTTCATTTTTTTTATTATGCCATTGTACTTCTAGTTTTTTTCCCTTAGTATATGAATGACATTGTTATAATAGGGTATTTTAAGTACAACCTTGTGATAGGAAAAAATGAAATTAGGATGCTATAATACACAAAGCAATACAAGTACAATGATAAGGAATTATTTTTACTTGTTATTGTGCAAGGTCTTAATTTGTAAAAGTTGTTTCAACTTGCGAATGATAAGGAAGAAAGGCATTGAATATTACCAAGGTATGAATTGTGGGGTCCAGGAGAAGCTTCCGGATGGTATTGAAGAGACATAAGCTTTTGTTGAGGGAAGGAAAGACCTATATAGATTCCATCATTCAGATTCACATGAGTCACTTCCACTCCATTCGTAATTGTGATTCACATGATGCATGCAAGGTAATGCACATGAGCCCAATCAATTTAGATTCAGATTATGTAGTTTACCTTTGTTTTTGTCAGCTTCAAGAAATAAAGTGAAAGATGAGATTCAAAGTTGTAATGTTTTTTATGGATTTTGTTGGTACAAAAAATAATTCTACGAAAATACCTAAAATAACCCTTGACTTTTTGTTATTACATGTAGTAAAATACATAATATATATACGAAACAACATCACTTCAAAATGGATCTTAACTTTAAGTGTATCTTCTTCTTCTGTGTCCTGTAACAGCACACAATAGAACAAATAACATATTTAAGTGTTTACAACACAAAACACAAAACTTTCCACATTCAATATATATAATTCTATCCATCCTACAACAAAAAGGCAGAGAGATTAGAGAATAGAGATTATTCACCCATATCAACTCTTCTAGGGCTTTCACCTTTCTTGTATCAGAGTGATGTTAAATTAGCCTTTTTAAATGGCGATGTAGAAGAAGAGGTGTATGTCCCTCATCTTTGTTAGAAAAATATGAAACACTTTACGAGGACACTTAAAGGATTGGACTACACTACCTAACTTACACTAGGACAGATATTGCATTTCCATTCAGCAAAGTTTCAAGGTTATTAGAACTGCTGACTTTGGGATTTGCCAGACAATATATAATTATAATATACTATACATTACTAATATATAACTTGTAAAATACCTTCTGTTTTGGTGCATTGGATCTCAAGAAGCTAGAGAATCTGAAGCTAGCTTATAATCTACACTATCATGAATGTCTTCAAGGAAGTATGTTGGTACAGGATGTGTTCTGCCTTGTGCATGAATAACAGGGCAGTCACCAAAGTAATGAGAAAATAGCTGTGAATGGACTATTGCTGACCTGAAAAACAAATTAACTTATGAATAAAAATATTCATGAGCTATGACATTTTGTAGGTTTCGGCATATATGTGATCATACATACATAAGGATAACTTTCGTGTGCTTTGAGCAGATTTCTTCTCTATAAAACTCTTCAAAATAATCAGTAGAGAATCACCCTGTTTACGAATTAAAATTTGAAAAAAAAAATTAGACATAAGAAATTATAATCTTACTAACTCACCAAATAAATGATATACAAAATTATAATATCACTAACTCACCAAGACATAACGTTCATGCACTTCATCAACTATGACATGAGTTATATCAGCAAAGTTTTAAGGTATTTTACAAGTTATATATTATTAATGTATACTACATTATAAATTAGCCTTTCAAGGTATTTTACAAGTATCAGATTTTAGATTATTTGCTTCTTACAAGAGACGCTAGAAATTAAATCCACACATGCAGAAAATATCAAAGAGAAATGAAATGGAATTCAATGACAAAAACTGAGTTGTACTTAAACATATATAATGTTGGAATCTAAATGATTCCGATGGAATTCAATTCCGTCCATTTGGCAACCAAACAAACATGCCATGGGATGGAATCTGGAATTCCCTTCCATCCATTACCATTAGTCAACCAAACATGCCATGAACCAGATGACCTCTAAGTATCTTTATTTAATATTAAATCAAATAAATTTATAGCAATAACCAAAACCGAAAGCAACATTTTTTTATTCAAGAATCAAGACACCTTGTGTGCTAGACCACTATGAAAAAGCTTCCCTGTAGCATGAAGCTTCCATGGTATCATACCACCCATACCAATGCAAGGTTGCTTATCAGCTGTGTCAATCCAAAACCATCAACAACAACAAAAAAAACTATCCAATTTAGATTTTATCATTATTTACATTTTTTTTGAAGCATTCCATAAATTCAAAATCTTTTACTTAAAAGATTATTTTAACTCTATGTCTCTATCAACAAGTTTGACAATCTTACCCTTCATACTCGGAACCTATATCAGATAACTTATCACAATCGATTGTTGAAGCAATCTTTTCAGCTTCTTCCGTTGATACCCATGTTACAATTATTAAAAAAGAAAAATGAAAAACTATATTTTAACTCTATGTATCTATCAACAATTGAAAATAAGAAGGATAACGAACCAGGGGTAAGTACATTAGGAGGTGCATTTACAAGCTCTTTTCCCAAAATTACCCCTGAGCAAACATGCTCTGTGTACTTGAGTTTCTTTTCTAACTCGGGTCCACCTCCAAGGTTAAGAGAGCCAATTGACTTAAGATAAGGCTTCTTTGACTCGGATTTAAATCTGTTATCTTCATATGTCCCTAACAATGCACCTATAATTGAAAAAATGAAATTAAGAAGATATATAAATAAATAAAACTTTGAGTAACATGAGGAGCATCAACAGGGTGAACTTTTGAACTGAATGGATTAATTGCTTTATCTTTTCTTCATTTGGAAGAATTGAATCCAGAAAAATGGACGTGATCTTCTTGAAGGTAATCCTGTTGAGGCTACAATATCATATCTGAAGGTTGTAGATACAGATTCAGAGTTGATTTCAAATATTGGATGATCAAGAACATTACTAGGGTTCCTTTCAGAAAATGGAGGATATTGTAGAAAACAGAACACTAGAATAGAAGCAAACCTTCCTCCTAGACTGTGGATAATGAGCTAACTATAGCTTTGCTTCTAGTGAAAGGCTCTTTCACGGACTTCACCACAAACCCACTTCTTAATCCCATATTCTTCCATAAAATCTCAACATTTTCCCCGAATGATTGTGAGAACCTAATCCCGTGGGATATCCAGTCGTTTTTCTTGGCACGTGGAATGATATCATACTGAGGTTTTCTGGGAAATTTGTTTCCAAGATAACCCAAACAGTTCACGTTTCTTGGCTTTAAGGAAGATTGGAAAGTTGCCCCAACAAATGGGTTTTGAAGTCTGCTACTCATTATCTTCACTAAAAACTCATGTCACAGCTTGCAGATCAAGTATTGGGGACTCAGGACTTACTCCTAAGAGGAGAGGTCGTCATTCCAAAAAAAATGGAGAAGAAGAGAATAATCTTCGTACCTAATTTAGGAAATAAAAGAATCTTTAGAGATTGAATGTAAGAGAAAGAAATCTAGGGCACATACACGAAGAAGAAGAGAACAATCTTCGAACCTGATACCTCCTCCGCTTTTTTTATCTGCATCTTGATGCTTCCGATCGTACCCTAAACCTCAGACTTCCGATCGTACCGTAAGTTTTCGGTGCTTTCTCCCGATCTTGCCGCTCAACCGGACCAATGACGTCGGGAAGGAAAAGGACGTCGCTCTTCACCTCATACTCGTGGATGTGCCACATTGGGTTTTCTGAGTCCGGAAAGGTTAAGAATAGTTTTTATGTAATGATGTTTTCAACTCCTAAACCGGGCATCGGCGACTGGACTATCGTAGATCAAGCACTGTCTCATATCCTCGTTTTGATGGCGACGGAGACGGCGGCATAAATGGAAGGGGGATATCAGAGCACCAAATAGATAGACAGGGGAAGCGGGAGAGAAAAGAGTCGAATGAGTGTTTCAAAAAGCCCTAGAAATTATCCCAATGATTTTCTGATATATGAGTTATTGAGGTATAGAACAGAGATGGTATCGTGATTAGGGTTTGCTGAGAAAAGGGAAGAATAGAACGAAGGGGATCTTGAAGTGGGGTATTAAAAAATTTAAGAATTTTGAGGGGATTTCATTTCCCCCTTTCAAGAACGCGCGTTTTAGTAAAAATCATAAAGCGACAATCACAGAGGACGCACGTTTTAGATAATGTGCCCTCCGTGTTTTTACTTTTTTTACATTAGACACTAATTTAAGGGCACGCAATAATGCGTGACCTAAATCCTCAAATTTTTTGAACAGACAACATGTTTTTATTGTCACTCTCTTTTGCGTAACATAAATCAGTGAGTGTCGTGATTTGCGCGTCGTGAAAGGGTCTTTTTCTTGTAGTGAACCTTGTATGATAAAATAATTATACTAAAATAACTATTTAGTATTGTACTCTTGTATTCGGGAAATAGTGTTTTATACTATAAACTATATCTAACATAGTTTATATGTTCTTTTCTGTATAATGCTCTTGTAATAGTAAAACAGTGTAATGTATCCCAAACTATACCTTTTATAGTTTGTATGTATGTTCTCGTTTCATGTATTGAATTCTATACAAGTTATGTAATGTTTCCCAACTATATCAACTATAGTTTAAATGTATGTTGCGTACTGCATTGAAAACTTTGCAATTTTGGCTGTATGTTGGAAACTACCCTAATGCCTGACATGTTACAAAAGGGTTACAAATATCTGAATATTTTTATACAATGTAGTGATTACTCTGTTTGTATCAATTGCAAAACTTTTTAAATATGTTTTAAATTTTTTGTATAAAAAAGTCCTTGTGTTTTACTTGTATTCCCCCTCTAAAAACATTAAAATAATGAAATTGCAGGGGTATGAACTCACAGTTGCTTAGGTGTGTGAGCTGGACAACGAGACTGGAAAGATGACCCTCGAGTTGATGCGCGCAGAAATAATTGTATCCTAAATATTGTTAAATACATAATTGTATTTAAATTAGTAAAACCATTAATTAAAGTGTCGCAAAACACTTTTTTTGAGTTGGAAATAATTACTAAGAATCGTTTGAAATGAATGAGAGGATTTTCAGTCAAGCTCAACCGAGAATTAGATTCTCGTTCCAAATGAGTTTTCGGTCGGAATGGGTTTTCTGCCGAACACAGGTTCTTGGTTTTGGGCTGTTTTCGGTCACTCAAAGATATTAAGGTTCTTCTTGGTGTTCTTGGTGTAAATATGAAGATTTGAAGGTTTCCACTTGAAGCTATGAATGTTCATGGATGATCCTTGGGGAGTAAAATCAGAGTGTTTTCGAGTGAAATGAGTGGGAAATGATCAAGTTTTCGTATGAAAAACTTATATACCGCTTGGGTTCTCGGTCGAAAATGGAGTTCTCGGCCGAGAATGGGTTTTTGGCCGAAATCAGTTTTTGACCCAAAGGTTTTCAGCCGAAAGAGTTTTGGTGTCAGGGTTTTCGGTTCCGAAGGGGAAAATCCTTGTTTTTCGAGAGTGTTTTATTCCAAAATTTTAATATAAACATCACTTGTTTGATTTAATTTATTTTCGAACCATTATGAAGTTAACGACATGAATAAAATTTGAAATTTAATATAACGGATTGACTTGTGTTCACTTGGAAAGTATCGGGTTGTTACAGATGTCATTTATTAACTCATTATGGTGTCGATTAACCATACGTGCTCCACTAATCAATAACAATTTTTGAGACACCCATTACCACTCTTTATTAGTCTCTATTAGTGTGTCGGTTAACCACACACACTCCACTAACGATTTATAAAGTGCAATGTGAAATTTCATGGATTAGTATACAAATTCATATTTTCCTAAAGTAAATAAGAGAAGGATTAAAAAAATGTTCAGTTACTTTTAATCGCATTATACTTATTAATGAGAATTTATTTTCCTATCAAACTCGTTCGGCTAACGACCCTTCACCAATCAAGGAAGCAGTATGTGAGAGTGGACACCCATTTAACTACCATTTTATAGGCAGTTTCCTTATACCCCCTTATAGATCGGCTTCGTGAATGAGGTGTACTAGTGGTTCAACTAACTTAGTCTTATATGTATAGTAATAATTAAACATTTAATTCTACATATAGTATAATGTGTATTTTTGAAACTTTTCGAAAATACTAGTTTATATTTTAAATTTTGAAAATTAAACAATTAATTTGAAATTAAAATTAAACCAAATAATATTTGACATTAATTATTAAGTTCAACTAATATCCAAATTAATTATTTATACATTTAAAAAATCAATCATATTAATCAAAAAATAATTAATCAAGTCAAATACTTATCTCCTAACTTCTCGGTTTACATATTATCATGATAGATTCAGTAAAATTTGATTTAGCAAGTAAATATAGCAGATAATTATCATATGAATTCATATTAGCAGATAAGCATCAGATTTTTTCGATCCGACCGAGCTCACGTCGTGAGCAATGATTTTTCAAAAATAATAATCGTTTCTTTTATTTGATCAATTCACCAATGTGCGAATACATGAAAGATAGCCATAAATTTTTTACACCGCCAATGGAAAACATAGATTACAAAATTTATATGCACTAAGCGGACAATATTCAAACAATTCAAATGATTAGGGCACATGCAACCTGTTGAGGATCTATGACTTTTACATATAGGCTGTTAGATTACTTATATAAACCCATAACTATAATTCTTATATACTTGAATTCATAGTAACATAGTCCATTTAGGTTTCCCTCAATACTAGCAAATGAACATGATGGCTTTTGGAGAGAGTTGTTGATTTATTATTTGATTAATAAATTAAAATAAATAATTTGTTAATATATTATGAGAATATACATTAATAGAAATAGGAATATTTAATCAGAAGTTAGTTAGAATTAATTTTGGGATTAAAACAATTAATTAAAAGTGCATGGTTTAAAGTGTATTTTTTTAATAGTTGAAGAAGAGGCTCGAGAACCTTCTTAGGGGAAGGAATGGACTGTTTCAATATGGCTAGTCTAGGCTTTCTAGAATATCTCATATGGATAAATAAGGAGCTAGATAATTACTAATTTGAAATATCATTATTATATTCAAATTAGAGTTATCCAGTACATCCTTGTTGGACTATAAATAGACCCTTACCCCTTATGATTTTCAGCCACTTATTCCTTTGAAGATATAGTAGAAAATCTAATCTCACATCTTCTCTCTCTATTCTAATTCTTTTGCTAGTGCTGGGTGTAAACCACTAGAGGCACGACATTTGTGGTGCTTGCTCTCAAGGCTTCAACAACACAGGGATTCTTTGTTATTAGTCAATAACAATCAATGTGTGTTTCTACTAAACCTGATCATATTTTTCAAGAATATGTTAGGGTTTCTTATTTGATGTTCAGAGTTGTATGTTCAATTAGAGATAAAATAGATGAAGAACTACAGTTACAAGCACACATAGGATTTTATTTGTTTTGCATATAACCCATCAATGTTATCAAAGCCTTGGCTTTTTTTTTTCTATTGAATTGATTGCAATAGTTAAATTGACCAATTAGGGTTTATGGCAACTAAACCCTTTTGGATTAGGGATTTTCGAAACTAGATTTGCTTATGCCATAAGTTTTGAGATATAAGAAAGGGTTGAAACCGTTTGCCTTTCCCTACAAGTTTCGATATTGGAGGGTTTCTTACCCCTCAAGTTTTCAAAATTAGGTACGGACTGAAATCCTTACCTTCTTCCATAAGCCACAAATTTCGAAAATTGCTTGATTATGATAGTTTTATCTTATTTTTGGTAATTATTAGTTTATCTAGCTAAATAGGATAATTATAAAATTAGATATATCCCTACCCATTATTTTCGAAATTAGGGTGAATGATAAGGATTAAATTATCTTGATTAATTTAATAGGATAATCATAAATTGATTCAAAAAATTAGTTAAATGTTTAATTAATAGAAAATTATTAAATCATTTGGTTTAATTTATCGATTTGAATTAAATTTTTTAATTTTTGAAATTTACTAATTAAACCTAGTATTATGAGAAGTTTAAAATACACCTTGTACTATATGTAAATTAAATGTTTAATAATTTCTATATGTATAAGAATAATACAGTCAAACCATTGGTATGCCTCATTCACGAAGTCGATCTATAAGGGGGGGGGGGGGTGTAAGGAAACTATCTATAACATCGTAGTTGAATGAGTGTCCACTCTCACCCACCGCTTCCTTGACTGATGGAGGGTTGTTAGCCGAACGAGTTTGATAGGACAAATTAAATCTCATTAATAAGTATAATGAAGTATTAAGTAATTAGGACTTTTTAAAAATTTCCAATCTTAGTTACATTAGGAAAAATGTGAATTTGTATACTAACCCATGAAATTGCACGTTGCACTTTAAAAGTCGTTAGTGGAGCGTGTGTGGTTAACCAACACACTAATAGAGACGAATAATGAGTTGCAATGGGTGTCTACATGGTTATTCACAAATTGTTTATGATCCTTGGTATCCCAGTCATAACTAGAAGAGCATAATCGAGATTAAACATGCCATTGAAATTTTCAATGAATCTCAAAAGATCTAGGAATTTCATTAAAAACCTAATTTGTTCTTGTTTTGTTTTTCAATGGTGAATTTGATAAATCGTTATTTACCTACCTTTATATAATTTAAAATTAGATTACGACGTCCCTTTTCTAGGAGTGAATTATTT